TTCGAGGCGGAATCACATCGGGTAGAACCTCTTGTGACTGACCGGTTGATTCGTTTCCGAGAGCCTCGCACGATGTCCGGAGTTGCGATGCCGTCTCTGATCTAACCAAGTCATCATTCGACCCGTACGGATCAAGCATAGCCGCAAACTCCTCGTTCACAAACCTGGAAGGAAGAATCAGTGGCGAAAGGACGAGATCAGCATCGGATAAAGGAGTCACTTTCAGTTTGGCGACGTTGGCTTCATACTCCATCTCTTGAGCGCCGAAGACATCAATCAGTTCCTGCGTGATACCCACCTTCTCTTCCTGAATCATCTCGAGACATTTCTTTGTCCCGGAAGCCTGATCCAACAGACTTTGCTCCTGATCGAAAAGGCTGCGCCGTTCGAGGTAGGACCGAACACGATCGATGCAACGGTTAGCCTTGTCGGTCATAGCCGCCTCAACGCGCATCCTCTCACGCGTAACCTCCAGACTTCGAGATTCCCGCAGGCGTTTCCTTTCATCGACCAGCTTCTGCGTCACCGCATCCCTTTCGGCTAGAAGCTCGGCCTTCTCCTGCTCCAGTGCAGCATTGGCTTTCTCGAGACTCGCTTTCTCCCGCGAAAGCAGCTTCTTCGCCGCACGATCGGCTTTGAGTATTTTCTCGAACCCTACAAACTTTTCACGGAGAATGTCCTTCTCCTTCTTATTGTCAGCCTTCATCTGCTCGATAGTGCGAAGTCTCGTGCGGGCAAGTCCTTCCGCATTACCAAGAAGGGTCATCGTTTGCTTCAACGTCCTATCGTACTTCTCGACGAGCACATTCATACTCCCATCAGCCTGAAAAGCGAACGAATCAAAAAAAATTAGCTATAAAGAAGAAAGAGATGCTGCTGCAACAACGCAACCATCAATCGAAAACTTACCCGTCTGTGTTGAAGAGCGGCTTCTGCGTAATCTTCCTTAAAGAAGAGATTTCCAACAGGAGGCAGATCAACCGGACCGCCTCGGATTTGACGAGTAAGCTCTGCGCATGGACCCGGGTTATGAATCAAAGGAGTCCTCTCGTCATATGAGAAGCTCACGCGATCCGCGAACTCAACCCAGGGTCTCTTGCCAAGCGAACCTTCTGATAGGCTCCTCCGAGAGGGAGACTTCCTCTTCGAAGGAACATCAGTTGGGAGAGGCTCAGTCGATTGATTACGCGCTTCAATCCCGTCACCACCGGCGTCGATCGTCCCCGTCGTGTCTACCGAAAGAGGTGTTGGACATGGAGATCTCGGCGTCTCCTTAGCAACCTTCCTCCTCTTTTTCTTCGGACCTCCCTCCGAACCTTTCTCCTTAGGATCGCCATCGGCAGAACCGCCACGCGACTCTTTCTCCCTATCCCTTGTCTCCAGACTGTCAGCACGCCCTTCGGAAGGATTAACCTCAGCCGACGACCCTATTTCCTTCGTCACGGGGCTCTTCCGCTTCTTCTTCTTCTTCTTTTTCTCTTCAGGAGCCGGAGGATCAACTTCGGACTGAATGTTTTGACTTGGATCGGTTTGTGGAGCAACTTCAGCGTTGTCATCGCCAGCCGGAATGACCCTAGAAGTCGTCTTCTTCAGCAACTGGAGTTTCCCCTTAAGCAAAGCGCTCAAATCCGGTCTTCCTGACATCTCCCTCGCTTGCTTGAGCAGTTTCTGTTGTTTCCGGGTAAACAAAGACAATCGAGACTTTCGTGCCGAGATTATCAACGGTTGCCTCGATTCCCAATCGACTGTGAAAGCAGGGAGAAAAAGACAACCGTCAGTCTATTAGCTGGGANCAACTGGAGTTTCCCCTTAAGCAAAGCGCTCAAATCCGGTCTTCCTGACATCTCCCTCGCTTGCTTGAGCAGTTTCTGTTGTTTCCGGGTAAACAAAGACAATCGAGACTTTCGTGCCGAGATTATCAACGGTTGCCTCGATTCCCAATCGACTGTGAAAGCAGGGAGAAAAAGACAACCGTCAGTCTATTAGCTGGGATCTAAAGTTGGACATGTAAAAAAGAAACCTATACCTCTCTCTATGCGAGCCTGTTGTCGACGAATCCACTCACGACTCAGATCCGGCCAATTCAGATGACTCTGGGTTGCAATGGCTTGTGCATCTCGAAGAAATTTTCCGGGTACGCGATCGTATTCGGATGACGACCTGCAAAAGTAAAAGGAAAGGTCAGAAAACCGACGAACGTAGTAAATAACACGGTGCGCGTTCTCTACCAATTTCTTTGTTCCATAGCACAGGGAAGTCGTCCTCAATGGCTTCCGCAAACGCATACTTATCGGCTTTGACGTAGAAGTACGAACGCTGCCAGTTCGGCGTCTTGCGAGGCTGACCGGTCAATACATTATAACTTGGGCGCATCTTGACGGAGAACAAACCTCCCCTCTCCGCCTTCGTCGAAGTCAACTCTTCGAACACTCTCACGCTCATGGGAACATCTATCTCCGCAGCTAACACCATCAACATAACAGCGTTCCGAATTGAGCCTATCTTCAGCTGGCTGATTGCTACTCCACGCCTCCTCGCATATGCCGAGATCAAACGCGGAATCGGGAACCAAAGCTTCGAGTCGTCCTCGAAGTATGACTCGTAGATACACTGGAAGCCGATCGGAGGCGACCAAGGCCTCTGCTCCTGGGTAGGAATCGCGTAAGTCACGCCGGCTCCTCTGCAAGACTGCAGAATGCTTCTTACGGTTGAGTGATTGGATCGAGTTCCGAAGACGTTCTCCCAACGTTGACCTTCTGCCCAAGGATCCCGCGCCGACTCCGGAGGAAGAGCATTTAGCTCCTCGAAGGCGCCATCGAGACGAAGAATGGCCGGCTTGCATTCGATCAAGTCGAATCTGACGATTCGATGCCTCAACCATAAAGCTCGAGGGCTCTGATCCGGCGACGTCGTATCCTCACCATCCTCATCGGAACTCGAATTTTCGGTACCCTCCTGATCGGACTCGTTACCCGAGCGACTAGAATCTCCCTCATCACTCTCTCTTTCGCCGGTTAAATCGCCCTCCTCTCGCTCGGACCCGCTAGCCGCGCGACTAGAATCTCCTTCTTCTTCAGCGGCTGAATCATTCTCCTCGCTCGCTAAATCCGTGGCCGAGTCTCTGTGCGCCTCGAGCCTCTCCCTACGCAAAGCGTCGCGATGAATCAAACTGAAGTCCTCTATTGGACTTCCGTTCGCTGTAACATCATCGGCTTGACCGGTGGCGCAGGCGATTCCTTTGCCTTTTTCCTCACGAGATAATCGCCCCGACGAAGCCATAACCCGAAGCAGAGTACTTAGAGAGAGAAAGCTAAAAGTAGAGAGAAGGGAGAGAAGAAAGTACCTGAGTTTGCAGAGAAGAATAATGAAAGAGGGAGAGAATCTACCTATTTATAGCAAAGTCCTGAGGCACGATTCTCTAAGTGCAATTAATGCATTTAAACGGGCCTAAATAAGCCCATTAACTGCAGAAACCCAGGAGATTATCCAAGATCTATTAACCCTTAACCTAATTCAGTTTGATTAAACCCTTGAAACCGGTTTACCCCAACCGAGATTAAACCGGAGCTAAACCAAGCAGCGACTGAGATTGAACCAGAAGACGGTTGGAAGCTGAATGTGCCTCTCAACTCAGATGATCTACTCAAACTAAGTGTTGCTCCACGAGTAATAACTTAGTTGATTTGTGTTAGAGATGAATTGAGGTGCGATGTCTTTACAAAACAATAAGAGAAACACTAGCCGCGAGACTAGATGCGCTCAAGGTGTCGCCTAAACGCACTCTCACAGGCGTCAACTCAGTCGTGCTACTAAATAAGCTCAAGATGACGCCTTTACGCGACAATATAAGACTTCCTAGTCGCGAGACTAGACATGCTCAAGATGTCGCCTAGGCGTGCTCTTGGTCGACACTCTACTCGCGAGACTAGACACGCCCGAGTTGTCGCCTAGATGTGTTCGCGACCAACATTCTAGTCGCCAGACTAGATACATCCGAGGTATCACCTAAACCCGCTCTCACAGGGACGAATTCAGTCGCGCTACTAGACGAGCCCAAACTGGTGCATTTACGCGACAACGGAGGACATCCTAGTCGCGCGACTAGACATGCTCGAGGTGTCGCCTAGATGTGCTCACGACCAACGTTCTAGTCGCGAGACTAGACACGTCCGAGGTGTCGCCTAAACGCGCTCATGATCGACGTTCCAGCCGCGAGACTAGACACGCCTAAGGTGTCGCCTAGATATGCTCATGACCAACGTTCTAGTCGCGAGACTAGACACGTCCGAGGTGTCGCCTAAACGCGCTCACGATTGACGTTCTAGCCGCGAGACTAGACACGTCTAAGGTGTCGCCTAAACGTGCATTCTCGCAAGTTTCCCCATTTGATTAAACCTGACCCACAAATTCACTTAGAGTCCTACGGACTCATAAATGAACTGGGGGGACTTATTGTAGGAAATGGGTTATACCCCTCCACAAGGCCCATCAAATGAAGAAGCTTAGCCCAACATGACGATATATTCGGCCCACGAGGTAACACCAAAACGACTCGGCATGAGGCGCGTTTAGTAGCGCGACTGAACGCGTTCTAGAAGAGTCGGCGGAAGTACGATTTACCCGGACTACTAAACGGGCCTAGCAATAATAAGGCCCAACAAGGCTCGGGTAAACTAGGGCGAACACGAAGATTGGATCTATAAAAGNTTACTCACCTTCCTGTTTAGTCACCGTCTCGTTTAGTCACCCTCCTGTTTAGTCACCTCCCCGTTTACTCACCATCTTATATCTCCGGCTAGTCTGCCTCTTTACTCTTCTCGTTGTAACCCCTTATCCAGATCTAATAAAACGTCTTTGTTCGCCCTCATCTCTCTTTATATTGTTCGAACCATTTTCACCTCAAACAGTAACGTATATACATGTTTTTTTTTTTGCTTAGATGTAAAATCTTCTATCTAATTTGAGAACAAATTCTGAATTTATGATGGTTTCATGAGCCTTTAGTTGCTTTCTCTAAAAGTGTTTACTCTTCCTTCAGGTTCTAGAGGTGAAATCCTGACAATTACGCTTTCTGTTGATACTGGTGCTGTCACTGGACTGGAGTCACCTAAAATCTTTTGGCATGTCTCAACCAGACATTGTCTGCATTTCGGACAAGTCAAATGTTGTTGAAGCCACTTGTCAATACAACGAACATGGAACCCGTGATTGCACTTAGGGAGCAACCTAAGCTTTTCACCGCAAACAAAATCAGACAAACAGATCACACACTCTTCGCCAATCCCAGACAGGTTCATCTCATCTGAATAGCTCACGACATGAAACATTTTTAGAGCTTTCTTCTTAATTCCTGTGTTTGATGAACTCTGTGGTGTTGAAAGAATGGAGGTAGGCTCGGAGATCATGAAACTTGAGCAGCATCTGAATGCGTAACGAATGATGTAATGTAACACGAGGCAGCAAATGGTTCCACATATGAGGACTGAGAGAAGCATTAGCACAGTCTCACTGAGGTTGTTCTCATGAGTGACATGAGGAGATGGCTCGAACGCAAGGCCTCGTTGAGTGTTGTGATCAAATGGATTGTGCAGAAGCAGCTTTCTAGAGATAAAACCGCCAAGGATTTGTTCTTGGCAGGCTTGAGCTGAAGAAGGTAATTCATTTGCAGACATTGTTTTTACTCTTTAAAAAAGCTTTGTTTCAAAGTATCTTCTCTCTGTTTTGCTTTGCTTTGTTTGCTAATAGTTTCTTAAGTTTTGGGGAACTCAAAGTGTCTAATATATATATAGCTTGAGGTGATTCCTGATTAGTATTACTATTACCTATTATTAAGTGGGAACTAATAAGATTTATTTTAAAAAATGGAGTTTTCTTCTTCTTTTCAAGTAAGATTTGAGAGGATTTGGGACCTAGAAAGAGCTTATCCAATCTCATGAATTTTTGAGTGCTGATTGTCTTGTTGGCCCATACCTTCTACAACCACAAGATGTTTGTGTAGGGACACTATCACTTGTCCAAAACTGAATATTGAAATAATATATATTTGTCTCACTATAAAATAGGAATTGATTTAAAACATCATCATTCTAAAGCTACCATTTTCCTCTAGTCTTTTTGTTTTTACATATTGTTTATACTAATAGATAGTTTTCCACCGAAGAAAAAACATTATAAAAAATGATTTTGGAATTAGCATTTCTCAGCCTTTTCAGTTTAATGGTTGCAGATATTTGAACATCTTTAATGTTAAGTTATTATTATTTAGTAATTGTATTATTTAGAAATGGGTTTTCTGCAAAAAATTTCTCAATGTAGTTCTTTTTTGCAAATTAAACCGCAAGCTCAAAAATCCACGGGTCAACCCTCCAAGTGCTTGTCAAACTGCAATATAACCCTCAACCGTGTATATGTGTATTTGACTGTGTATAATTTTAACATTTATCAATACTACGTCGTTTTGGCTATAATTTTTAATGTAAAAAATTTGCACTCGCCTAGGTTTGAACCATGAACCTTATTCACAAATCTACATGCTACATAACCATTTCAGCTAACGGATATATTTATACATTTAACAAACACAACTATATGTATTTCTAAATTCATTCCGACTTTGTATTTAATATATATTGTATTATATTAATTTTATTAAATGTATACATATTTTTATAAGTAAGAAAAATATTATATTTTTAATTTATATTCACAGTGAAATTATCTTTATATTTGCGTAACACTTAATATATTTTTGATGAGATTTTAGTAACATTATATCTAAACCATAATTAAATTCTATACAATATATATTATTTACATCAAATAATATAATAAAATTAATATAAATGTAAATTTTTTAAAATAATAATTAATTTTTATACATTAAAATCAAATATATTTTTTATCTTAGAATAAATATATTTTAAAATGAAAATCTAAATAAATAATTTTTTGTAAATTAATAAATTTTGAAATTTCCAACATTATTAATTTATAGAAGTTTTTCTATATAAGTAAAGAGAACTGAAAAAAGTAAATGTTTGAGTAACAATCCAAGGATGACCCTCACATTCATTAAAAAACGACGTAATATTGATAAATGTTAAAATTATACACAGTCAAATACATATATATACGGCTGAGGGTTATATTGCGGTTTGACTGGTACTTGGAGGGTTGATCCGTGGATTTTTGAGTTCACGGTTTAATTAGCAAAAAAAACTACATTGAAGTTTTTTTTGCAGAAAACCCTTCAGAAATTGAAGGGAATGACAGCCTCAATTGTTGATAGAGTTGACAACTGTAGACCAATTGCAAACACAACTAAATAGATTTCAAATTATATGAAATACATATTTAGATGCTATTCTTTTCTTATACTCACTCCGTTTCAATTTATTTGTCGTTTTGGGTTTTTGCACACAGATTAAGAAAATATTTAATTTTGCATATTTTGTAAAAAAAATACAATTACTTATACACCTAACCACATTTCAACCAATAGAAAATATAATTGCAGATAAAGTAAATAAATTTTGTATTGAAATTATAAAACAACACTTATTTTAAAACGAAAATATTAGTCTACAACGACAACTAAATTGAAACGGAGAGAGTATTTTGGATGATTTATAGATTATGTTGTTGCAGTTATCACACACTAAATGGCATATAATCTGATACCCTCTGAGATCCTTTCAGATGCTTAATGGAGATATGCTACCTGGAAACCACAGTCTTTGATTCTAAACCAATAACCCTTAGCTTTTGTGCAAATCCTCAATTACTGTTAGTCTCTAAGTTTCTAGTGACGTTATTAATACTTTATTTGCATCCAATCCAATCCAATCAGAAAAGCCTAGGATCTTAAGCCTTATTTGAACCATCATTTCTTTATGAGATGTCTTTTCTTTTGATAACCTTGTTTATGATATGTTTGCTCCTTTTTTTTTAACTGCATGATATCTTGAATCACGAAGTTAGAGCATGTGGTCCTTAATTAAATCAGTTATAGTATTTTCTTACAGTGAGTTGTGGATTTCACTTTGGTTTTTTGAATCACTTATCAGGATCCTACTTTGATAACTGGAGAATCTATGAAAACCTCTTAAGATATAAAGTTTGATCACTCCATGTATTCTTTTATTTTGGTCATATAGATAGTATCAAAGCAGGCAAAAGTTTGTAGTTCTGTTTTCGTACTACTAGCTAGTGTACAGGATAATGTGTTTATTTTCGTGGAAAAAAGTAATGGAATAATTGAATCTAGCTAGAACATTCACCACAATATAATACAAAATTTGTTAAGATGTAGTGAGAAGGCATAGAAACATGGTAAGTGGCATCAACTGTCAAAGTAGGAGATTCTTATAATGATAGCAATGTTCTTAAACCCGATCCGGACACTAAACCGAACCGAATAATTTACTGGATTATTAGGTCATTGGGTCGACCGCGGGTGAACCACAGATTGATAAATAAAACTTTATTATATAATAATATATTAGTTATGAAAATAAAAATATAGAAACTAAAGTTAAATATTTTATAAATGTTTTTAAAACATAAAATGTATAAATATATAAAATATCAAAAACTAGTTTAACATATTGTAGAACTTAGAACATGTAGTATAATAGATTTATGATAAACAAAACAATCAAAAAAAAAAACGAAGAAGAAGGATATACAGAGTCGTAGAAGTGAGTTGAGAAAGAAGAAGGTTTATTTATTGGTTCAACCGGTATCGAGTTTCGGGTTTTAGTGGATTTTAAATTAGAAATTTAGAATATAAAACAGAATAAAAACATAATTTAAAACTAAAAAAATAAAGGTTTATTTACTGGTTCAACCGGTATCGAGTTTTGGGTTTTAGTGGATTTTTCTGGGTTTTTACGGGTTTTTAAATGTTGGGTTTTTAACAAAATCCAAACCGGATTTGTTTTGGGTCACCGGGTTTACCGGTCCAACCGCGGGTCTGGGTCCGGTTTCAACATATTGAATGAGAGTAACTGGAACTTAACCGTGTTTGGTTTGAATGGAGTTGAAAGGTGTCTTACTTGTCTTACCCACACTTTTAGATCTCGTTTTCTGATGTATATGAGAATGGATTCTCTCAACTATGATACAATTACGAACCAAATTTTCATTTTGGGTACGTAGTGTTAGGGCTCCATAGGTTATATATGGTGTTAAGGCTATATCCTCTAGGTTGGGTAGGTTAACTTTATCACCTGAGTGGCGGTTGAGAATCTCACAGGACTATGCATGGTCTGACTTCTACCTATTATGGGATGGGTAACTTTTTGTAAAAGGTTTTTCATAGGGTCCATATAACTCTCCTATGGAAAAGTTGATTTCTTTATCATTGAGACAAAGAATCCTTGTGATGCATGTGTGTGGATTGCTTGTGACTTGTGAGGCATATAGGTAGTGTTTTTAAGTGGGTCGAGTCAAGTGGATAGATGCATTTTTGTTATCACTATCAGCATATACGCGATCTAGTCTTGGACTATTTGCTATGTCTAAATAATGACTCTTTGATTCCGTGTAGACTGTAGTGATTGTGACACATGAATATAGGAGTCGCAGTTATCAGTCTTTGGTTATGAATGATTATTAATGTTTTGGATATGACTGAATAATTCTCATTTGACCGAAAAAATTACTTATGCAAAGAGAAGTTTGATGACTCAGTGAGATTCTGCTTAAAAGTGAAATATATTCTCTCTGTTTACACTTTGTGCTACAGGCAAAAAAAGAAAGACATAAAAATTGAAGTATCCTACTTTTTCTTATGGAACTCTCCTAAGAATTGTACTCATATCTATAATCTTTCTATCTAACTTGTGCATATGTTCTGGGAATTTAGCTGCTTTCTCTAAAAGTGTTTACTCTTCCTTCAGGTTCTAGAGGAGCTATCCTGACAGTAACGCTCTCTGTTGGTGCTGTTGCCGTCACTTGACTGGAGTCACCTAAAATCTTTTGGCATGTCTCAACCAGACAGTGTCTGCATTTAGGACAAGTCAAATGTTGTTGAAGCCACTTGTCAATGCAACGAACATGGAACCCGTGGTTGCACTTAGGGAGAAGCCTAATCTTTTCACCGCAAACAAAATCAGACAAACAGATGACACACTCTTCGCCAAGTCCCGGCAGGTTCATCTCATCTGAATAGCTCACGACAGGGAACATCCTTAGAGCTTTCTTTTTGATTCCTTTGTTTGATGAACCACGTCGTGTTGGAATACTGGAGACGGGCTCAGAGATCATGAAACTTGAAGAGCGTCTGAATGCGCAACGAATGATGTAATGTAACCCGAGGCAGCAAATGACTCCACAGATGAGAATTGAGAGAAGCATCAAGACATTCCCACTCAGGTTGTTCTCATCGGTTATGTGAGGAGATGGTGCGACCGCAAAGGCTCCTTGAGGGTTGTGGTCAAATGGGTTGTGCAGAAGCAGTTTTCTAGATACAAAACCGCCACGGACTTGTTTTTTAAACGCCTGAGCTGAAGAAGGTAGTTCATTTGCAGACATCTTCTTACTCTATAAAAAGCTTTGTTAGAAAGTTTTTTTTCTTCTCTGTTTTGTTTGGTTACTGCTTGTTAATGTTTTGGAGGATTCAATGTGGGCTTATATATAGCTTGAGATAATTATTGATCAGGCAGTGGGGACAAATAATTTATTTAATAACTGGAGACTAATAAGATTTGTTCAAGAAAGTGGCATTTTCTTCTTCTTTTCAAGTAAGATTTGAGAGGATTTGGGACCCAGAAGAGCTTATCTCATTTCAGGAATCGTTGAGTGCTGATTCTGTCATTGGGCCAGAGCTCCTCCAACCAGAAGATATGCTTGTGTAGAGGCTATCTCTTTCCCAGCATTGAATTCTGAAATCATTTTTTTTTTGTCTCACTGTAATTAGCAAACATTTTCTTATCCTGTTGGTCATGTCGTAATTATTGATAAGCTGGATTTTATCTATTTTCCATTATATTTTATTTTTATGTTGGAGGAGTCAGATTCTGTTGTATCTTATTCACAATTTTAATGCTTTGCCCACAATATGTAGTGTTGTAAAGCAGTTTCGTGCTTTCCATGTGTATGTGTATGTGTTGTTACCTTTCTTTGTTCTTGACTTCTTTCCATGTGTATGTGTATTGCTTAATACTCACTTTTTTTAATACTTCACTTTACTTTTAAGCAAATCAATAATATTGTTTACTGGGATATTTAAGTGGAAATCGATTTTTTTAAAAAATATTCAGTTATTTCTTATAAGAAACTACAACTAATGCTTCTATTGTTTTGATTTATTACCGTTTAACAAATATATTAGATTATCTTGCTCTTTCTATTTATGTTTCCTTTTCTCTGAGGCTTCATGCATCTGTTGAACAAAAAAGAGCTTTAGAAGCCTGTTTAATCTGTACTTTAATTAATGATTATCCACTATTATTAAGCTACAATTTAGTAACTATATTATTTTATGTGTTTACCCCCAGCTATATGTAGGTACATCATTTCTTCTAAAAACACATTATATATATATATATATATATATATATATATATATATATATATATATATATATACATATAGTCATTTTTCTTTTAATCTATTGTGTCCACATCATTTAGAAAAAGATAAACACTAAATTGCATTAATTTTTAATACATACTTATATATATATATATATATATAGTCATTTTTTCTTTTCATCTATAGTGTCCAGATCATTTAGAAAAAAGATAAACACTAAATTGCATTATTTTTTTTAAATACATACTAGTTTATATGATTGTTAATTTATTAATATAAAATAAAATTAGAATGACAAACAAAACTAAATAAGTAAATATAACAGCACTACAATAAATTAATGACAACTAAAATATTATTAGATGTTATATATCAAAATATTTTACCTTTAAAAGTAAATTATAGTCTTATCTTCACTTTTACAAAATAATGTTATAATACTATATATAAGAAACCACACTCACATATATTTATATAGAAAATATTCACTCTATATAATATAAATTACATAATGTTAACTGATATATAGGGTTCCTTACATCGGACTGTCCCTAAATTCACAAGAGTTACAAAAACTAGGGAAATATCAGATCATATGACCTTTTGGATTATCTCTATGCTTACAAAACTATTTGCACTTTACGGGGAATATTTCCAAAATCTGTTTGTTATATATAAGCATCTAATTGTCTGCATATGAATGGTTCTGTTGTGTGTTTTGTTCTTATTTTCTTTTCTTTCGTTCTTCATATATTAGAGATTATGAAATATCAGATCATGAGACCTTTTTGGATTATTCTGTGTAAACTATTAGCTCTTTACGGGTAATATTTTGCAGAATCTGTTTGATATTCCCAAGCATCTAGATGTCTTCATATAAATGGTTCTGTTGTTTGTTTATTTGCTTCTTTTTCCCGGTCGGCGTTTGTTTATGTACTTACCTTTCAAAAGAGATTGAACGATATTCATTTTGCATTTGAATTTTGTCTCTTTCTTCTCCTAAGTTTTCCCAACACTACCAAGTCCTATGTTTCTTAGCTTTTAATTAATTTGTGTTTATATATTTATTTTATGATCATTTATCGCATTCTTTTCAACAAAATTTTTTTTATTAATGTAATATGATTATTGATTAAGAGGCTCGGAGGTAGTGTTTATGAAGTTTGTGGACAAGAATTAGCCCACCAAAAGAAAACAAATGTGGGATCCCTCTTCTTTTTCACCCTCCTTTGCACTTTATTTTGCACTTTCAATTATTTTAATTAGTGATAATGTAGTAAAGCCACTAGAAATTATTTAACTTCGAACTGGTGCGCCGTGACAAGCTAAATCATGGGATTGATTACCTCCCTAGTAGTAGAGAATCGTCATAAAGATTTTGCATCTCACATAACCACATGTTTCGAAGAACTATATTTGAGACGTACACTTGCATGTAATTAAGTAGTGACCAACTTGTTGAAATATATTTTCAAAAGAACATGATATTAGTGGCTGGATTAACAGTAAATTCAATCTAACTATGGCTGACAATTTAGAAAAAGATTAATTACTAGAATAGCATTCATTGGCCGGCTGATTTATTTAACGATATGCTGAATTAATATTTCCAGCCTAATTACGGCTGATTTATTAGCGACGACTGATTTATTAGCGAAAGATTAATTATTAAAATAGTATTTACGTTGTGGCTGATCTACGTTATATTTGATGGTTGATTAGTTAGCCATAGTTATGTGTTCGTTTGGCGGCTAACTTACCGATTTTCTACCTCATCAGCTCCAATTGTCCACGTCATCAGATGTTATTTGCCATGTGATTATTAACATAACAACAGTTAAATTAGAGTTTATGTTACATATACAGTATTTTCTTCTTCATCTATCTTCTTCATTGTGGGAGTCGATTTCACCCTACTGTCAATAAATCGTAAAAAAGGAAACTTCGGGAAAACCCTAAGTTTCCAGAGGAACCGGCTATCTGCGAGAACCGCACAACGAAAATAAGAAAACGATAACTTAGAATAAAAACGAAAATAAGAGAGATTTGAAAGCAAGAAGGTTCTTATTCCGAATCTGCGTTGAACTGGTTAC